ACTTGTCATTTATCCCAAAAGCTCGTAAGCTTATTTGCATGTTTACCATTTATTAACTAATAAACCATAGCACAAAGTATAACTGTATGAGGACCCAGTGTAGGAGTCAAATATTGCATCATAGTGCTGAGATCGAGCCTTGCTCACCTAATAATGCACCATAGTGCTAAGGTCATGTTTTACCCACCTTGTACACCGTAGTATTTTGTACCGTGTGTCTTCGCTAGACACTTTGAGGCTTGTACTATGTGCCTTCTCTAGACACTCTAGTGCTACCTAATATGCAGTTGCTAGACTCTATGGCATGCCATTAATAGCACTGACCATCAATAACATACTTGGGCATATAGTCTATTTTTATTTGATCCATCCATGGAAAAGTATATTAATACCTTTTAACATTGGGCAGTTCATACCCGAAATATCATTCATGATAAATATCATATATGTTCATGATAACATCATATGTAACGATCAGTAATCAATGCATTTTATATTCAACCTTTTACATATTTAGAATATGTCAAATATATGATAAATGATATAAATATCACGCTAATATAAACAATGTAGACTTATCGCAAGTCCTACCCAATGATGTATAAAACATCCATGTATAATGTTATGTTTGCATTTCACTCACTGTTACATTTTATAAAAGTCAAAATATAAGCCTCACTAAGCTTTAACTTGATCTTTTGCTTCTAATTTGATTAAAACCAAAATTTCTCGTAATTTCATATCCTGACAGTTTGCACAACCTTTAAAGAAACATTATTATGTGTTAATATAAAGCTTTACAAATTATTCCGTTTATACCAATGGAAACTAGACTCAAATGAGAATTTATCCATATAAAGCACTCCTTCTAGTTCAATTTTTACAATTTATGGTAAAATTTCATAGTTGGCCGACAAAATCTGTTTTGAGAGGAATCTGTTGCCCCATTTTCTGAGGTTAAAATTTCATCTTTTTGTATACACCTCGAAATTAGTTTGTTCTAAACAAAACTAGACTGATATACTAATACAACGGTATAAAAATAATTCTCCAATAATTTCTGTAGAATTTATGACAATTTTCTAAACTTACTGTCCAGAACATAAATTCTAAGCAGATTTCACCAATTTGCAATTTCAACCTGTTCATTTATTTTATTATCTCACCAAATGCACATATATGCATGCACAAATAACATGGAATTAAATCTTCAAATCCAATGATCCATATTATTTTCTATCATTTTAAAATGTGGAAATTATATTTCTAAGCTTAATTTATCATCCTTCAAATTTTTCCAAAATTCCTATTCGATCTGATTTACCGAATTTTTACCGGACTTTATCACTTTATAGCTTTTAATATCAAATCCGTAAAAAAAATTGATTCCCACATAAACATCATTCTTATTTTACCGGACTTTATCACTTTATAGCTTTTAATATCAAATCCGTAAAAAAAATTGATTCCCACATAAACATCATTCTTAGGGGTAAATTATTCATTTACAGGATCAGATTACATAAATTTTTAAAATTATACTTTAGTCCTTAAACTTTTCCAAAGTTTATACTTTGGCCATTTAACTTTCAAAATTTACAATTTGGTCACTAAACAAATCTATTTATGGAATAAAAATTCTTTTCAAGAAAATTAACACTTAGGTCCTTAAATTTTTCCTAATTTTCTACTTTGACCATCAAACTTTCAAAATTTACATTTTGGTCACTAACTAAAATTTTGGGGTATTACACATTCGCTCTTGACTATATTGTATCATGTTTATATGTTGGATGCATGTAGTATATCCTGGTTATTTATGTAACATTGAGCTTGTGAGCTCAACGTATGGAATATGTTTTCGTTTTTTGGTTTTTAGGTGCCAGATCGAGGAGTACGTCGCCGATTTAAGAGCTTTCCATACTTGATCACTTTCAAAGTATGTCTCGAATATTTTAGTGGGCATGTACTGTCGTATACCCTTATTTGTATTTGAGTCGTAAACTATGTATTCTGATTTTTAAAATATTTTGGAGACTTATGTCGAGAGCTCCCCCGTATTTCAAATACTTATGTTTTGTATTTACATGGTATTCGAATTTTACGGATATTATTTGATGAAATGTTTAAAAAAAGGGTTAGATACTTATGTGGTTCCGTGTGACAAGATAATTCAATGATCTACAGGTCGAATAGTATTAGCGTGTAACACAAACTGTTGCATCACTCTGTCTGCGTCGTGCCACTCAACAATCGCATAATGCAACAACGACGTCACGACACACCATAAGTGGGACCCCTAAAAAATCCCCTCGACAATACATGTATCATCTCCTCTTTGATGTACGGAAGCCAAGAGAACTGTAAATATTAAACATCAAAGTTACTTTATATAAAGTTAAAAAGATTCAAAGAAAATAATAAAAACTTCGTATGTCATACCACAAATCGATCGACGATGGCGATTCTCATCCGTATGTCTCGTGTAATGGCACCTGACAACTTCGTCTCGGAGATTTTATGATGTCATCTAAAATATTTAAAAATAAAAAATTATAAAAAATAATTAAATTTACGAAATTAAAAAAAATTAATAAACAAAGTTAAACAATTACCTTGCAGCCAGCGGAAACTCGACTGAGGCTGTTGTAACTAGCGTAAAAAATAGGAAGCGATACCAAGCCCAGGATCATAGCAACATCAGACAACCTGCTACATCGGCTTTTCGACCTGGTTGGGCAAGTGCGGCCTTGCAAAGCTCCCGGTAAACAAATACCAAAATCGTCGAGCCCCAACTGGTATTAAAGCACACAACGAAGTCTTCCAAATATCGTAGATATTGCGTGTGCGCCTAATTATTGTATTTGTCCAGTAATAATTTCCCTCCGATCACTTGGAGAAGAAATGCTCGGGGGCGAAAAGAACCTCTGCCTCGATAGACTCGTCTGTGACTTGGAATTCGAACTCTAATCATGTTATCGGATGGTGGCCATTTCCCCAAAACTTAATAAATCAACGTCGTGAGGTTGTACATGTTCTGCGCAACCACGAGGGCTCCACTCACTGAAACACTGAGTTGGTAAGCGACGTCTTCCAGAGTAATCATCACTTCACCACTCGGGAAGTGGAACATGTGCGTCTCGGTCCGCCAACGTTCGATCAGAGCCACGACCAACATCGGACACACCTTGAAGCCACATAAAAACAAGGTCAAAAATATATAGGATTGATGTAGATACATCATCATCCGCTGAGCGGCTTTCTAGTTATCATCCCCCGAATATGAATACCCCATTCATCGTTGTGCGGCACAAGTTGAATCAACGAAACATGGAAGTTATCCAGTCATAACATATATTCTCGAGTTGCCATTTTTTGAGATTTTGACAGAACGAACGAGTTTTTGTATTTTTTTAGATTCAATGTTTGGTGAAAAACCAAAACCCTAAACCCCTATTTATAACCTTACCTCCAACAACTATAAACGACTAAAAATTTGAAATATCCGGATGAACTCGTCACCTCGATGTGACGAACTCCATGTGACTGTTGCTAGTCATTGACTAATAGCTAGTAGTTTTGAATTTGAAGGAATCACATTGGCGTGACGAGTTTTTTTTTTAATTATATGTATATTTTAATTTTTTTAAAATATTATTTTTTATTAGATTGATCACCTCGACGTGACAAGTCATTATAACTCAAATAAAATAATGGCTCATTTAGAGCCCATAACACCGGGTCTATTAAAAATTAATATATGAGGGAACTCGTCAAATTGAGATGATGAGTTCAATGTTCACTGTAGAGAATACCATATTTTCTAAAATAATTTCTGGATATACCCAATACCCTAAATAATTTACCCGTATAGGGTATTGGACCGAAAAAACCACTATTAACAAATGGTCATAACTGTTCACGTTTACTCGCAAATTTAAAAAAGGGCACCCCTCGTCCACAAACTTCGCCAACTACTCCTCGTCCCATTCCAAATTCACCACCCACTCACGCGCCTCTGTATTCCTCTCTGCTTCCAACCTCTCTGATCCAGGGTCAATTCTGGGTATTTTTTTACCCGGGACGAAATAAAAAAAATGAACCCCTATATATATTCTTTATTTTTTGGTTCAAGACGAAATAAAAGAAATGAACCCCTATTTTAATAAATTTTCAAAATCATACTATGGAAAATATTATAGGCCCTAAGCGGGCATCCCTCTTGCCCCGGCCCAGGGCCAGCCCTACTTTGATCCCTTCTAAACTGTTCCCAACTTTCACATTCGCACTCAAAATCTCACCCCTATTGACGCTCGCCATCACACTGGACTCTGACTCTGAAAAAGATGAGCCATAGCTCTCTTCATGACCATTGATGGTTATGTACAAAGACGACCGAAAAATCAGCGCCAACGAATACAAATTGTTGTTGAACGTAGAACCTTGCACCGTACGAGATCAGGTAAGACGCTGAAACGCTCACTTCCGTTGGGTCGTTGAGAAGCTTCAACAAGCCGGTCATCGTCTCAGTCTCACACTCACCACCTTCATCGTTGAGCTCAGTTGTTCCCGCCTCTCTGCCATTTCAACACCGGAAACTCGTCACCAGTTTCCTCCATGGAAATATCATATTTGTTCCGTTCAGACTAGGCAACTGGAAGAGAGAATAAAAGATAAAAACCGACAAGACATTACGGTATTTTACTTAAATGACGCGGCGGCGCATCTTTTGAACTCCATTTGCCAAATAAGTTATCACCACGTGGAAGGTCTTGACTTACATGGCAGCAATGGCTTTGCATGAAAATGTCGGAAAATCTACGGGTACGTACGCTATTCTTGGTCATTTGATTTAGAGTGTTTCTCACCATAAAAAAGAAGTCCACCTAAACGAAGATCATATGCACCAAAAGAACAAACAGTTGAATTTCATGATGGTGGCCGTCAATGCAACCATGGTGGAACGGAAATAACGAAAAATAGTTCTTGGAAGAATTCAATGGTTCATGGTCCAGCAGTTGCCTTGATGTTATGATCAGTGTTAACACACAAATATCAATGCTAAAACCGTTTGTCTAAAAGCATCTATGCCTGAAAATCTGCAAATCACTAACATGGCTGCCTACCAGTCGATCTGGATCTATCAAAGCCTTCCGATCAATCTTGTCACTCATGTTTTACCGGCACATGAAATGACATGGGACTTGAATTTCTCGAGCTCCGCCAAGACCTCCTCCTCTGGCCTGTAGATCAGATCACTCATGCGCCATATCTGCATAACACCGTTTAGTACAGGAATAGTTGTAAAGTCGTTCGAATTTAACTCGTTTTTTCATTTTTATTGCAAAAAAATCGAGTAAAAGAATGCCATTGCATGTCTTAACTTGGAACAATACCCTTCGATTATATAACATGTTCTGCGATCTCGAAAAAAATAAATGTTTTTCTAACACAACTTAGATCGGAAACTAGTAATTATACCTGTAATGTCCCTCCTCCACCGGTGGTGTCACAGTCGTCAGAAACACTTACAATGGTCCACGGATCAGATGCATTCCAATGGAAATCAACAACTTTGTCCCTGTAATGAGCATATATTAGGGGAAATTAAGTTGTGTACAAACAATCAAATACATCATCTTACACAACAGCATAGGTTTAAACATCTGTACCCGGTGCGGGTGGTACGTTAAAAATTTTCATCGAGCACTAGTAGAGAACACCAAATGATACAAAGGTGTTAAAAACATTTATACGTTCACTTAAGAGGTTTAGGTTGAATGAGAGATGCTTGTGCGTAACAAAGATCATTGACAAAACCAGTTTAATGATGTGAGTTTCAATGGAAGACATAGGACTAGAAGAGAAAAAAAAAGATGAAAGAACGTGAAACGTGTATTAAGATTTAAGCATACATTGCGAACTTCAAAACCGAGTCCAAATACCTGTGGCCAGCATGCTGGAAAAAAAGTCCTGCCGTAGAACTAGACTTTGAAGGACGATCCACCTTTTTGCCAACCTGCAATAGAGATGAGCAAGTAAAACCAACCACGATATCAAATACTAGAAAGTATATCTATTACAAGCCTGATAAGCAATATTTTGAACCGGCCTTTCGAGGCAGAGCCTTTAACTATGTTTTACAGAAAATATACAAAACAAAAGTAGAACTCAAGGTAAAAAGAAGACTTGCAGTTAATTTAAATCCCATTTCATTGATAAACTTTCGAATTATTATTTTCTACCCCAAACCATTGTAACATAGACATCAAAACAGAGTTTGATTGATGAAGATGGAGAACTTGGCAATCCTCTTCACTGCCATCATTTTCACAAATATATTTCAAACTTACAAAAGTACTATGAACCATGTATCTCATCTGCATGAAATTATTCATGCAAATTATTAAGGTAAAAAGAAGATATGAACCATAATTATCAACTAGTGCAACTGCATGAAAATCCAATCTCCTAAAATTGACTCTGGAAATCTAAAAATGAGTACTATGCAGAAATTATTCATGCAAATTACAAAAGTAGGTGGGCAGCAATAAGTTACTACAGAGTTCGACATAAATGCATGGCCATGTATCTCATCTGTGTTACACATACGAACATCATATCATGTATGCAAAGGCAATTAACTGAAGAATACTCGAGCAATCACACCTTGTCATAGTCCCAAATGTTTAAGAGGCCATCCTCAGCAGAACTACCAAATACAGATGACTTGTCCGGAGACCACTGGACCATGACAATTATAAATTCTGTAAGAATGGATACATGATAACACTTGTAATCACATTTATAAAAAAATAGGAAGGGATATGAAATGGTCAGGTTATTTTCAGACCTGAACACATAGAACAGCAGCTTTATGTCCCTCAAACTTATAAATTGGTGATCCAACTCCATTAGAAGTGAGATTTCTTCGATCAAACAAACAAACAGTAGTATCTGCAGACCTAAGAAATCAACAAAAGAAGATGAATGATGTTTTGTACTTTACCCATCAACATCATTGAAAAACTTGAAGAAGCAGTACCGCACTCTTCCCATGTCACTTTGATGCCGAGAGGAAAATGCAAGACAAGGAATCTAGGATGGAGACATACCCGGTTAGGATAAGATTATCATCATGGCGGTTCCAATCAACACAATGAAGATCAGCATCATGTGCCTTTTCAACCTGACAACTTGGAGCCAAGAATTTAGCTTATTATCCAAATCCAACATTACATTCATAAAGATAATAACAAGATCAAAACAGAAAACATGAGGAACATTGTTGATTCACCAACAGAAACTCATAAGCGGGAAAAAAGCTTAACGGTTGGATTCTGATATCAAATCATATCCACTTCAAAGTGTTTCAAGCAAATAATGATAAAGAGAAAAAAAGGCCCAGAGAGAACAAGAACAGGAACACATTAACTAGAATAAGAAGATCAGCCAAATTTTCAAGGCCCATCAACATAAGAGGAAGAAGTGATTGAAACAATGATGCTACCTAGTTGATTAATTCACATATCACAATCACACACCATCCTCTGTACCATAAACTATAAACCATTTTTTTGATGTTGATCAGAAGACAAGATGGGGCTACATTATTCAGCAAGAATCCACAGCAATTACCTTGACAGCAGGGTTAGTGGCAACTCGTGCATCCCATAATATGAGGCAGGAATCGTCACCTACACTACAAAACTCTTGTGCACTACAGCCAGCATGTATAAAAAAAATGTCAGAAATTAGAGGCCATGGAAATGACATACGAAGTGACAATTCAGAAGCAATTACTGCAGTGGAAGTGAAAACAATGATAAAGCCATTTGAATGAATTCATCTTTACAGGAAAATTTCATGAATTGAACTCGAGAAGAAAAATACAATAAAGAATTCAATCCATTTATATTTTATTAAAGAGAAAGAAGCTACCTGGATGGGGAGAACGCGACATCTTCAACTGTATCCTCATGCCCACAGAAGATTCCACGAGGACCTACAGAAGGCCCTTCGGCTGCTTTATCATTACCTTCCCCAGGCTTGTTCTGTTTGATGATCGATCCACCAGATATGTGGTCCTGGATGCTCCACAAAACCACTGATTTGTCCTTCCCTGTCATAAAAGTTCTCTGATTAAGAAGAGAAGTTCGTATGCATGAAATTCAGTTCTGTTAACCCATTTTTTTAAAATGCAAAGTAACCCCCTTAGGACTTGGAATAAGTATTTACCACCTCAAAGTAAAGCTATGCACTAGAATACAGTAAAACATATCAATAGGGTCCAATCTGTCACTTCTAAATTAGACGGGGAATTTATTTCAAACATCACATACATTATATATGGAAAAGACATTCAACTCTCAAATTGAAAATTTTAACATGATTAACACTATGTAATAGTAAACAGATGGAAGTCACAATGTCTCATTTGATAGTATCAAAGAGATACGATCACGAAATTGAAAATTTTAACATGATTAACACTATGTAATAGTAAACAGATGGAAGTCACAATGTCTCATTTGATAGTATCAAAGAGATACGATCACGATTTCCACTGAGTTTTCAGTACAAAATATATCAATAAAAACACCAATTCTATAAAAATATACAGTTTAATTGAACTATGATATTTCCCAACCTCCAGAGATCACATAGGGTTCAGTAGGACACATTGCAAGAGCAAATTCAGCATTATCTTGATGTCCAGTCAAAATCTGTCAAAAAGGGAAAAAAACAAGTCATCACTGAAAAACAGATCCATCAAAAATGAAAAGCCACATACATACACACTTGAGCAAAATTAGCTTCTAGTATGTGAATAACTGAAATTTTGAAATAAGCATACCAAATCCGGGCGAGAATGTGTAGCTCCAAGAACCGCATGCCGGTTGGGTTGAGCTTCAACATCCCAAATAAGAACCTAGATTTTAGCAAGTCACAAATCAGGTGAACTTTAACATCTTTTTAGAAATAAAACGCAACATGAATATTGGATTCACATCATTTAACAAAACATAAATTACAAGAGTCTTACATCTGGACTATCAGTGTGTGTAGCAACAATCTTCGAGTTCTGTGGAAGTTCTCTGATCCTATTAACCTGCAAGATCATATTTGTCAGTTGAAATATAAACTTTCATAAGAAAACCAAGGAGAACTTGTAATAATAAAATTGTATGGTTATATATGCAAAACAGGGATTTAAGAAAGCAGGATATCTATTTCCTCAGATGTCATAGAAAAGAAGCAACGGATATATATTATTAATTCTCATCTCAAAATGAAAAATCAATTGTTAAATCAAATAGCATTATTTTACATAGTTGAGTTCCAAAAAAAAAAAGCTGTTAGGGTCTATGTCAGAAAATGACTTCACAAAAAGTCATACACCTTTTTTTTTCTTCTAGAATTTGTAAAAATCATACCTCTCCGGGATGTATGAGGGTCTTGTACTTCTTCACGAAAGGTGAGCGTGCTTCTTCATTAAACTGAAAAATATGAAGAAATCGTGTTATAAAGAGCAGAAAGCTGCAAGCATCAGTATTGAATTGCAAAAAGGTAAATATTCTATGAAAACGAGTTACCACTTACCTGAGAGATGTGCTCGGCAGCAGCAACCCTAGGCTTAACAACTTCACAATTTGCAATCACAAGAGTATTTGGAACGCTACCATCAGTCTGCCATTATAAGAGAATAACCAAGAGAAGAAAAAAAATTCAAAATAGATGATAAAAGCATCCCCCACACCTCCCAAAAAATGTATTAAGTAGAATAACTTCATCACAAACTCATTATGCATCATCATACTTCTACCTAGGTTTTTTTACGTTCATTGAGTGAATGAAATATAAGCATGATGCATAAATAAAGACTCCAAAAGAGCATTTTTTTCAAGCAAAACTTAAGCATTAAACAACCAACACAAATGAAACAAGGCGGTTCTTCCATTCAGTTTGCAGTCTCTATCAAAGCCTATCGAAGGAAATAGCTTGCCTGCTCAGAGAGGTAGAGACGCTGTCGACTCTTGTAAGTAGCTTGCTCAAGCTGTGGCCCCCAGCTGCTCAAAATCAAATTAAACTATAATCATGAAATGTTTGAAAAAGAAAAGCATTTTAACATCCTCTTATCTACCCTGAAAAAGGAGCTAAATTGGTAACAGCGCAAAATCGAACAATTACAAACATGAATGCCGGTTCAGCTTCAGCAGCTCAGCAAGAGCCCACTAGGGTTTTAGTACAAAACTTTAAGATCTTTGGAAACAAACATTATAACACAACCAAACCCTAAACTCAGCAACAGAACCAAAACCCCAGGCTTTTGCAAGGAAAAAGAGCAAAAAAAAAGCATGAATAGGGGGTTAGAGAGGTATACCGGCAAGAGAGAGAAGGCCAAACGAGATTGTGATTAGCAAGCCAGTCGTAGAGAACAGGGACCAAAGACTTCCATTGAGTGTACTTCTCATCAACGCTTGGTTGTTGGGATTTCTTTCCTTCTTTCGTTTTACCAGCACTTTGTTGCTGCTGATCTTTCTCGTCTTTTGGCTTCGGTTTTCGGCCTCTCTTCTTGGGTCCTTGTTGCTGCTGTTGTTGGGGTTGGGAAGACTCCATTTTTGAGACAGCGAGTGTTGCTGAAGCTTTTAAAGCAAGTAGAGAAGATAATGAGATAGGGAGTCTGGTTTCAGGGCACCCGAGAACGGACACTGCTGGGACCGTATTGGGGTTTTGTTAGAGAATACTTGGGGAAGGAAAATGGTAAATACAGTGGTGAGGGTTTTCTTTTCCTCTGTTCTCCTCTGCTGAGCAACGCTCTTTATAACTAGATTGCCGTACACGCGGCAAGTTCGAAGATTCTGTTTCAGACGTAATCATCAAATTTAATTTCAGTATAATAATCATTCATTTATATCTTACCACTTACATGTGTTTGGTTTAAAGATTGTGAGATTTTTATGGGATGTAAATCTCATATTCTCATGTTTGGTTGATTGAGAATCTTATTCCTGGTAATATTTTATTATCAATAGTAAAATTTTTAGGGTATATTACCGGAAATGTCATTACCTCACTTCCCTTATGTATTGTAACATTACCAGCGTTTTAGATTAAAATGCCCTTAAATTTTTATTTTTTTTCAAAAATATCCTTCTTCTGTCATTGAATAATAAAAATTCTACGAAAATTTAATTTTTTAAAGAAAATATATAAATATTTTACGATTTGTAATATTATACAAATATATAATAAGGATAATTTGGTCAAATATACATTCCAATAATGTTTTATTCCTTTAACCAAACACAAAATACAACATTCTCAGTAATCTTATTCCCTGGTAATCTTTTATTTCCACTAGTAATCTTACATTCCGTGAACCAAACGCACGGGAATCTCACATTCCACGTTTGGTTGGTTGAGAATGTCATTTCCAGTAATCTTACATTATTAATAGTTGATTTTTTTGGTATATTACTGTGAATGTCATTACTCCCTTTTCTTAGGTATTGTTGAATTACCGGCGTTTTAGACTAAAATACCCTTAAAAAAATTTCTTTCAAAAATATTTTTATTTTGTCATTGAATAATAAAAATTATACAAAAGTTAAATTATAAATTTATCCTTAAACTATTTTAGATTTAAAAAAAATCTATAATTAAAATTTTATATGAAGTTTAGGGATTAAAATAAAATTTTACCCTTTCATTAAACATTTTTATATTTTCAATTTTGTAAAAAAATTATATAAATTTTATGAATTTAAATTTTTTAAAGAAAATATATAATTATTTTCCAACTTGTTAAAAAAACAAATATATAATAAGGACAATTTGGTCAAATATGCATTCCAATAATCTTTTATTCCTTTAATCAAACACGATAATCTTACATTCCTGCTAAACCAACCAAACACAAAATACAACATTCCCAGTAATCCTATTCCCTGGTAATCTTACATTCCGTGAACCAAACGCACCCATAGGGATGGTAATGGGTCAAGTTTTGATCGGATCTAGTTAAATTTAAATCCATAGTTATTTTCATATTTTGGATCTAGATCCACCCCAAATACGCGAATCTAAAAAATTAGGACTCAAATCTAGATCCATTAGATCTCATAGATCCGAGCCCAAAACGGGTCTATTAAAAAAATTACTATTCAATTTACTTTTTAATGTAATAAAATTATCATTGATTAATTTCACATCATATCTCCAATTGAGAAAAAATTAATTTTAATACAACTATAATAGAATAAAAAACGATAAACTAAAGTCTCAAAAAAAACTCGAACACAATTACACAAATGTCTTTTGAGTAACACAAATATTAAAAAATGTAAATCATGAAACTTTCTATTGTCGCAAGTTGAGTACTGCACTTTTACCTCTTTAGAGTGTTAGTCTTCATCACTACTTAAATCATCAACATCCTAAAACAAACAATAACCAACCGAAGAGAAAAATCTAAATAGTATTTGTGAAATTTAAATATTAATATTATGGTTATGTAATATAATAACTTTCTTATATACTACGTCATTGATATCCTCCACTTTATCATCACAATCTTCATTAATAATAATAAAAAAAATATGTGTTCTTTCAAAAGTGTCTTTATCATAAATCAATAAAAATTACATTACAAAATAATGTGAAATATAAAATTAAAGGGAATGAAAAGAAATAATATAATTATTAATAAGTATAAAAAAATCATATAAGAACTAAAGTGTCTCCCTCTATAAAATATTTATATATATTATAAAACATATTATGTCATCTATATATATTTTAAAATCAAACGTAGACTTTTCTATATGCAGGTAAATCGGTCCAGACTTAGTATTAGATACGGATTCGGATATGTACTTTAATCAGAGGATCCAGATCCGGTCTGAATTCTTCGGGTCCAAAATTTTAGGATCTAGACCTTATAAAACGGATTTGAATATACAGATTCGGGTCGGGTCCAAGATTCGTTGCCATCCCTAGGTATCTAATCTAATTTTAAAGTAAAAATATATATTTATATGATTTGATATACATGTACACATATTATTTTTATTAAATAAAATAAATTAACGGGATTAGCTCAAGTGATAAATAATTTGATATTGCTTAAGTAAGTTTTGAGTTCAAGATATTGTGTATTAAAAAAAATCGTCGTTGGAAAACTCACCCATGTAATTAGGCGTGCGATATGATCTATCTGAATTAGTCAAGACAAAATCATGAAGACCAGGTGGACAAATAAAAAAATAAAGAGATAAATATTATAATATTTTTTTGAATGTATAAAGATTAATTATATTGTTTTGACTGGTAAAATCAAATATTTGTACCTTAAATCTGAATCCGATTTGATTAAAACATAAATTAAAAAGACCTTATTTTATAGATAAAATAATCTCAGTGACCAAAAATACCTTATAATATACGATTTTAACCAACTTTTTTTGGATTTACCAAAATGACCAACTAAATTGCAATGCGATCGATAATTCGCAACGCGATATCCAGTACCGCAAATCAGTTTCCAGATTCGCAACGTGAACTTCGACTATCGCAATGCGAACTTGGACTATCGCAATGCGAATATGTAAATCGCAATGCGATAATCGAAGTTCGCATTGTGATAGTCAAAGTTCGCATTACGATAGTCGAAGTTCGCGTTGCGATTTATTCCAAATTCGACTATCGCATTGCGATTTACATATTCGCATTGCGATAGTCCAAGTTCGCATTGCGATTTATTCCAAATTTGTTGCGATAGTCGAAGTTCGCGTTGCGATTTATTCCAAATTCGTTGCGATAGTCGAAGTTCGCGTTGCGATAGTCCAAAATCGCAACGACTGGTGGTATTGCATTTGTTTCTTAAGAATTTTCTCTAAAAAGATAGTATTCGCGCGGACGTGTCGAAGACACTTATTACCACGACCACGACCACGACACGACCACGACCCGAGATGAGACGAGACGAGACGGCGGCGGCGGCAGTGCGCGATAGTCCCCCTTGTTCTCTATCACTCAACAAGGAAGTGGGAAAGCCAAGCCTTAAATACCATTCCCAATAGTGTTTCCAATACTATGTGGGATTGAGCATTACCAACACTTGTTCTCAATACTATGTGGGATTGAGTCTTAAATAGTGATATTATTTTTGAATGTTTTGCTTAAAATTACAATAATCGCGATTGATTGTAGATTGACTTTTAATTATGACATATTTAATCATATAATACTAATGCAATTGGTTGCTGATTCAGTTGTTTTAAGGTGCATGATTGTTAATTGTTTCCTGAATAATCACATTGTATTGGAAACAAGTGTTGGTAATGCTCAATCCCACATAGTATTGGAAACACTATTGGGAATGGTATTTAAGGCTTGGCTTTCCCACTTCCTTATTGAGTGATAGAGAACAAGGGGGACTCTCGCGCGTCGCCGTCCGTCGTCTCGTCTCGTCTCGTCTCGGGTCGTGGTCGTGGTCGTGGTCGTGGTCGTGGTCGTGGTCGTGGTCGTGGTCGTGGTCGTGGTCGTGGTCGTGGTCGTGGTCGTGGTCGTGGTAATACGTGTCTTCGACACGTTCGCGCGAATACTATCTTTTTAGAGAAAATTCTTAAAAAACAAATGCAATACCACCAGTCGTTGCGATTTTGGACTATCGCAACGAATTTGGAATAAATCGCAATGCGAACTTGGACTATCGCAATGCGAATATGTAAATCGCAATGCGATAGTCGAATTTGGAATAAATCGCAACGCGAACTTCGACTATCGTAATGCGAACTTCGACTATCGCATTGCGAATATGTGTCGCAATGCGATTATTCGTAATGTGATAGTCCAAGTTCGCATTGCGATAGTCAAAGTTCGCATTGCGATAGTCCAAGTTCGCATTGCGATAGTCGAAGTTCGCCTTGCGAATCTGGAAACTGATTTGCGATACCGGAGATCGCGTTGCGAATTATCGATCGCATTGCGATTTAGTTGGCCATTTTGACAAATGCAAGAAAAGTTGGTTAAAATCGTATATTATAAGGCATTTTTGGTCACTGAGGTTATTTTCTCTATTTTATAAGACCAAATCAAATAAAAATCCATTAAATTTGGATCAAATACCTATCTCTAGGCGTAATAATTAAACAAATTGTATAATACTAATATATTTAATTTCCGTTACTTACACATTTTTCTTACAATTTTAAAAGTATTAATTAAATTTTTAATTCAGTGTAATTATTAAAAAAATTAAATTAAATATAAAAATATAAAACTCTTGCATCAAACAAAATTTAATCTAACTATATAGATTTTGTTAACTATAATAAATTCTTGTGGATATCAAAGAAGCAATCCTCATCCGATATGATAAAGGTGTGTAGATAACAATGTGAAACCCATGAATATGATCCTTAACATTCTGCTCATGAAATCATTTTATAATGGTTTGAGCAATACAACAATCAGGCATACACCAGCTGAAAGTAGCAAAAACAATGATCCAAAGCCCTGCAAGGATATTAAGAATCAAGCATCAATAATGCAACTAATGAATTATCAAAGCAACAAGTTTGAGCCAAACAAATACAAAAAGCCATACCAAGAACACCGATGCCACTCCCCCGACGGTGAGCTCCTTGGCAAGGCTGCGATTTCGCTTTGAAGAAGTTGCTTCATAGCTGCATATTTCAGGATATAAGTAATTTTTCATAAAATTTCCCAGATGTAATCTCAGGCATATAAAGCATTGGTATACCTAAAAGGATCTTGTTTTTGGTAAATGTCAAACAGTACAGTAATCATGAAAACTTCATTTTACAAACATCAGCAACAAATCAAGAGAAAAGGAATTTGAACAATTGAAAGGGACCATTGTTGTACTGAATAGAGATTTCAAAGTTCTAGCCACCTTATCTGAACTCTTCGGTGGAAAGGTGCATGAGAATGTTAAAAGATTCGAATGCAAAGAGATTCATTACTTTCAAAGGAACAAACGCATGTTCTAACTGCAAGGTCAGTTGATAAACAATGTGCTAACAGCTAAAATTGCAAAATCAGAAAAATATGATGCATGAAGAACAACAAGAAACTAAACGGGATAAGATACAACTTTACACATGCAAAAGGTTGATCTCTCTCTCTCTCTCTTGAAATTCAGCTTCGTGGCTTAGGCAATGTCTTGGAATTAATAGATGAAATAAAAGTTCAAACTCGAAAACACGAGACAATAAACCAGATAAAACCCAGATTTTCTCTGACAATAGAACTTCTAAAACCAAAAGGACCCAAAGCAGACACCTCGGCTGCATCTGACAATTCACATTTGCTACCACCAAAACGAAAAGAGCAATGGGGATCATCCACTTCAAATCCACACTCGTATTCTATTTTCACTAAATATAAAAAGAATATATTGCAGCCCGCCAATTTCCTAGTAAAAGAAGATGATAAAGTACATAAATGGTCACTAAACTATGCAGAAATAATCTTTTTGGTCACTGAAGCTTCAGAATTTCAAAATGGTCATTACCCTTCCCAAACAGTGGCTAAATAATCAATAATGTTTGTCGAACTATTACAAAACAGTCATTAAACTTAATAAAATGGTCCTTAAATTTATCAATATTTTATAGGTAAATTATGCGTTTAGTACCTAAACTATCAATTTCGGTTTGTTTTAGTTCTTAAACTTTCCATTTTTTCAAAATCATACCTAAAGTTTAGTTTTCGTTTCATTTTAGTACCTAAAACTTTAGTTTTTGTTCCATTTTAGTACTCCCTTTCAAAATTTAAGGTTAAGTTTTGAAAAGATTGAAAGTTTAGATACTAAAACGGACCAAAACTGATAGTTTAGCTACTAAACGCGTTAAGTTTTTAAGGGCGGGGTACTAAAATGAAATGAAAACTAAAACGTTAAGTATGTTTTTTTAAAAATTGAAAGTTTAGGTACTAAACTGGACCAAAACTGATAGTTTTGGTACTAAACGCGTAGTTTACTCTATTTTATAACATACAGTGACCATTTTGTAAAGGGTTGATAAATTTAATGACCATTGTGTAACTTTTAAAACTTCAGTGGCCAAAAGGACATAATTTAGTGACCATTTGTGTACTTTCCCCAAATACATATCTCCTATACATATCAACAAATCTACGGAAGGAACATTTTAAATCAAACAAATTTAGTTCCAAATTGCGCTAATGTTACCCTATTGTAGAGAAAATCAAAGAGCACAAGCTATAGAAGAATACCCTATAGAAGAATTACCTCCAAAATCGAACCAATGTGTAAAAAGGAAAAAGAAAATCATTAAAGCAACATACGAAGAAACACTGGAGGATATAAGATCAAGGTAGTTACATGAAGAAAGAAGCGGTGAGGACAAGACCAACGGCGAGCATCAAGACGGCTAGGGTTGGGTACCTCGCATCTGGCACTGGACTCGTTATTGCTTTTGCAGAAGCCTGGAGCCAAAAAAAAAAAAAACATTAATCAAATCAAACTCACAGTGAGAGGAAATTAGAAAAACGAAGAGAACCCAAGAGATATCCGATATGAACTCATATAGGATTTACATCGATCTTTGTTTTCTTCTCTTCCGAGATTAGGTGGTCAATCGAAGAGAGTGGATAAAACGTGCGATAGAACAGTTAAATTACAAGTATTTTACAAAAAAGGAGAAATTACGAGTAAAGGAGAAGCAGAATAACAAACGCCTTAATTTCTTGAAATTACGATTATACATCTTATTAAAATACATGTACATTTGAAAATAAATTGGAGTTTTATTTTTGTAAAATACTTAGTTAGCTACGATAGTCTTTCATCCCTACCTTTCTAAAATACTTGTTTCTTGGAGTTTTATTCTTACATTAAAACCACAATAGTAAGAAACTAACAAAAAAAGAGATAAAAGATTTTTATAATCCCAATTTAGAAACAAAATTATATAATTTAATTAATGAGATATGGAAAAAACCATATCACTAATCAAAGGGGAAATTTTGAAAAATCTATTTCTACTCTTTCAGAAACTTTAGTTGAAAGAACAATTGAAGCTGAAGAATTATTACTAAATTCTCTAATTTGTTGAAGATGGATACTCTTTGAAATTAGCTTTTTAACAACTGAGGAGATAAACAATCTTCTTAAAATATGTTATTATTCTTTTGATAAAGAGAGAAAAAAAATTCCATTTTAATAAAAATATATCGATTAAGTTTATATAGTAAAGCTTACTTTATTTTACCTACTGATATATTTTCAAAAATATATGAAGCAATTTGCATTCCGCAAAATCAAATTAAAAATACCTTTTTTCAAATATTACCATCAAGTCTACTTAACTATGAATATTTCAGAAGAAACATATCATGTTATAAAATTCATGCTTGATTATGAATCATTTGATATAAGCAATATTGAATGGGCATTTATTAGATAACTAGTATTACACAAATCTTATTTACATCTGATAAAAGATTTTCCAGCCTTTATTAAATCTCAACCAAGGGATTTAGCAAGAAAAACTCAAAAAGAAGAATATTTTCATATTGTAGTAAATAGTCTTATTGGTATCTTTGACAGAGAAAAATTAGCCAACCATATCAAATTCGACATGTAAATATGGTATCAAATCATTGTTGTCTTCTTGACGCAATAAGAGAAGAGTGACAGGGATTGAAACAATCAATCAAAAAATGCATCAACTACATCAAATACAAGCAAGAGTTGACTTGAAAGTCGTGGCTGAATTTATTCTTAATGATAGTGGATATAAACTTCGAATTGATGGAAAAAGAATAATGGTTAAGACTTTCTTTAAAAAAAACCATATCTGATGAAGAATCCATACAATTATTAAAAAAAATAGTAAATATGGAAATTAAAGAAGATTATCCCTATTCCATAGTTGAAGAAATCAGAAGGACACCAACATGGAACAGAGCAATATTAATACCTCCTTCACCATCTCTAGATGAATATGAAATTATGAATATAGAGAACATAAGAAGGGTGAATAAACAAAATCGGAAAAGTTGTCAGAGCCTTAAACAGAGGGTAAACAATGACAATAAATAAAAAGTACAAAACGTGGAAGTCACAACAAGGAGAAATGTACAAGATGTGGAAGACACCACAAGACGAAAAAAATAAAAGTACCCACACGTGGAAGACTATCATGACAGATTTCAAAATAAATTGAAAGCAGCTATGACATGGAGCCTATAAAAGTTTTCTCTTGTAATCTTTCATTCTCTTTCAAAAATAAACAAGCAAGGCATCACCTTTTACACCACTATTCTCCTCTCAAGCTTAGTTTCTTAAGTTTTCTCTTGTAATCTTCCGTTCTCTTTCTTTTGTATCACCATCCTCTACCTTTTGTAAAATATTTGTAAATCATCTTCCACACCCATATTCCACTGTAACTGGTATCAATACCCCGAAGTTTTCGATCTTTGGAGTAATAATATACAAATATTATTGTAAGTTATATTTTTATCTTGCACTCTGTTCATTTCAATATTTTATCTTAAAACCCATATATCTGTTATTCTACTTTACGTTTACCTCAGTCTGGTGAAGTGAAGATTAGGCCTTGTTGTTGTAAAGCTAGTGATTGTCATAGATAACGGAAGGTTTTAGGTACCAAAGATAAAATCATGGAGGAAACAGACTGTTTTTTTAAAGATAAAAATTGCAATCATACTATGCATATAGACTCTAAGAATGAAAATAATATTACATATATTAGTAAAGGTTTTAATAGTTTAATAGATATGACATCTATATATTTTAATAAGATGTATAATAAAGTTAGTAAAATAGAATAATAAATTACCAATTTCGGAGAGGTAATTGAAATAGATTTAAATGGTGAATCTAAAAAAATTATTATATGATATTAATAATAAATTAGAACAAGTAGTAATATCTTCTAAACAAGAAGATGATATAGATTTAGGACATTTATATTATGGAAATGAAAATACATATTAACTTTATTAGATGAAGAAAAAACTTTATCTTAAGGTTCATCTAAAAAGATTTATGTAAGAAAAAACAAAAGAGGTTTACACCTCAACAAAAATATGATTTTCAATCTTATAAAGAATTAATGAAACATTGGATATTAAGGATAAAAATGAAAAGTAGAATATTTAAAATTAATGGAAAATTTTTATGAAGAACATAAAGAATTATTTGATTTATTTAATTATCATTATACATTAAATTATGAATCTACGGACAGTAGTGCCAGTTCTAAAAACAATTTAGAAGAAATAGAAAGTATAAATGTTTCAGATACATCTAATGAAGAGAACGACTCTTCAACACAAGAAAATATTAATATTCTAGAGAAAAATATTAATAAACCAGATCCTATGGAAACGGATCAAACAGATTCAAATCCAAGAGGAAAAAGAAAATTATATCCTAATCTTTTTTAAGATGATTATTTAAGGTCATTTAATCGAGACAATGATAGAGATCAAAATAATACTAGATTAATAGGAGAACAAGTAGAAAATATTTAAGCTAATGAAGTTAAAACTGAACAAACATGAGAAACTTCATAACCAGTCCCTTATAGTTTAGAAAGTCTTAATAAAAGAAATGTTGTTTAATTGTTGTAAACAACAATAATTGATCAAAAGATAGATTTTTAAATTATTTTGTTGGAACTTTTCAAGGAGATGCTTTACAATTTCTTCATAGATGGGAAGAATCTACAATAGGAATGGAGAAAAAGGGGCGATTAATTAATTAAATTCAAACGCCTAAAGATGTTTTAAAATGATTAACACAAATTCTAAAATAGAATTTTATGGTTATTATGATAAGCAAGATCAAGACGATCAAGCTAGTTATATTTTATCAAAAATAAAATTATGTGATATAAGATATTTAGAAGAATTTTAATTTTTTTTTCATGAATATAAAAAATTAAAAAATAAAATTTTGGTAAAACTAATATTTCCATAAATTACCACCACCATGGGATGAATGTTGTATAAACAAATATGAATCTTATATTGAAAAACATAGTAAATTATCTGGTGTAGAAATTAGTGGAATAGATTCTATAGGAAATAGAATTAATTTTACTAGAGAAAGAATAACTAAATGTTGTATACATACTAAAGCCACTAAACAAGTGAAAAATAAATTAAGTGGTAGACATTGTACAAAAATTCTAGAAAGTGAATGGGAATTTGGATGTAAACAAATACATCCAAAAAGAAAAATAAAAAATATAAATTAATTAGATGGAGACCTTGGAAACAATATAGGTATCCAAATAATAATACGAGAATAAAATTTATTAGAAGAAAAACTTCTTAAAATACTAAAAATAAAAATTTAATTGTAAATATTTTATTTGTGATGAAGAAAGCAAATTGTCTTAACAAAGGCAAAAATGCTAAAAAAAATGATAAAAACACTTGAAGAATAAGAGTTAGAAATTTGTTCAGAAAAGGAAACAAATCCTAATGAAATATTATACAAATTAATATCATAAACATAATCTGATAGTGATGAAGATGAGTTCATATTTATGTTAGGTAGTAATTCTAATAATCAATTAGAAAAAATGCCCAATAATGAACAAGAAGCAATAAAATTAGGTAGTACAATTAGAGAAGAAAAAGATCTCTCTAATGAAATAATAGAAAAAACAAATAAAAATAATATTTCTAAAGAAGAAATATATAAAATATCTAAATTTAAAATTTGGAGTCAAAGGTACAATGAAAAAACCAGTGGAAATACCGTAGCCAAAGACACAAAATGAGGATTAATCGAAATCCCATTATTTACTAAAGACAAAATTAAAAGAATTAGACATAAATATCCACAAATTAGGTATATACATTTAGGAGTCATTATGATTACAATAAAAACACTATTTAGGAGGGGTCATGATGTACCAATTTTAGTAGTGTTACTAGACAAAAGATTTGAAAACTCCATAAAAGCACTTATAGATGGAATTCAATCTAACTTGCATATGAGAGTTATTGGATTTAAAGTTAAACAAAACTATTTTATTTCCATAACTTAATTGAAGAATGTTTATGTTTAAGAATTCAAACCAAGAATTTTGATATTAATGATTTATCAGAAGATCTAGTAATCAGTTGGACTTCTATTAACGAATATACTAATACAGCTGAAGTAGAATCTACAGCTGAAGTAGAATCTTTGAACCAAATAAATTTACTTCTGAAATTCCGCCTAAATTATTACACTTAAAAGATTTATCTTTACCAAGAGACTGTATATTAGAAAATTCTAGTACTTCTAAGTCTCTAAACACAATAATGTATGCAACTTCAGGAGATAAATTATATTTTAAAAATAAAGTAGTGATTAATAACCAAAACATGGTTTTACCATCTTCTAGTTAGACAAATGATGATGATGATGAAGAAAATAATAATACACCGATAAGAATGAAAATAATTCATATTTCTATTTTTCCTATCGAACCAAGTAGAAGTTCTAGAAACACTAGAATGGAAGAAATAAATACGTCAGCTATAATACAACAAATGAAACTTGGAAAAGAAATAATTACTTTTTCAAGATTTAAATCTAGAAAATATTATACATATATTGAAATAACATATAAATTTAGAAAATATAATACATATTCT